TATACTATAGCACACCCATAGCACCTCTGTGACCAGGGCCCACAATAGGGGAGTAAATTAGTCCTCCCCCACTGGATCTGGACTCGATCAGATCACCAAGGGGGTCCAGGAAGAGCTGCCTTTTTTTTACCCTGGGTACAGTGGACCTTTAGCCCATGTTTGGAGCCTCCTAAAGCTGGATGCTGGTAGGGATTTGTCCACAGCTAACCAGCTTCTCCCTGGGCTGATGGAGATGGTGTATGGGGTGTGGCCAAACCCCCCCACTCTCATACACTGGCTGCTCTGGCTGATCTGTCAGCTGAAAATGGTAAAGAAGAGGAAGCTGGCAGTCTTCCACCTTCAGTCATGTGGTAAGGGGCTGATGGGGAAAGATTTTCCCCTGCAGGAATTCTCTCCATCAATGTTGATTCAGGTTCAGGTCTCTATCTTTGCTACACTGCACACAAACAACTAGGGAACTGCTTGAAGCCCTACCACTGACTTCCCCCACTATTTACTGCACACTGACTGCCCTCACTACATACTACTTAATGAATGCCCCCACTACATACTGCTCACTGACTTCCCTGCTATTATGTACTGCTTAACTGACTGCCCCCCCTACTACATACTGTTCACTGACTGCCCTATCACTTGGGGCAAACTGACCAAGGGACCCACTGACCACCATAGTACAGGGGGGAAAACTGACCACCATAGTTTAGGGGACACATTGACCACTTATGTTTAGATGGCACACTGACTCACCACCAATGTTTAGGAGGGCACACTGATCACCACTGTAAAGGGTGCCACACTGACCACCACTGTACAGGGTGACACACTGAACACCATTGTACTGGGGACATACGTAACATCGTTTTACAAGGGACATACTGACCATCATTATACAGGGTGCAGACTGACCACCATTGTACACGGGACACACTGACCACTAGTGTTTAGAGGTCACGCTGACCACCACTGTACAGGGGACACACTGACCATCATTGTACAGGGGGCATACTGACCGTCATTATAGAGCACACTGACCAGCAATGTTTAGAGGACACACAGACCACCAGTGTTTAGGTTGCACATTGACCACCAGTGTTTAGGGGACACATTGACCACCATTATACAGGTAGGCACACTGGCCATTCTTGTACAGGGGGGCATACTGACCATCACTGTACAGGAGCACAATGAGCACCAGTGTACAGGGAGCCTACTGTCGACCACAATACAAGGGACACACTAACAACCTGTATATAGGGGGCACACTGACTACCAGTATACAGGGGGCATACTGACCACCATAGTTTAGGGGGGCAAGCTGACCGCAATAATACAGGAGGGAAAACTGACCACCATAGTAAAGGGGCTACACTGGCCACCAGTGTACAAGGGGCACACTGACCACCACAGTTTTGGGGAGACACTGACCACCAGAGTTTTAGGGTCACACTGACCATCAGCTTTTGGGGGGCACACTGACCATTTGTGTTAAGAGGGCACACTGACCAATGTTAAGGAGTGCACAATGACCACCAGTACACAGGGCCTGCACTGAGAATCTTGTACACAGTCCTGACCCTATACATTAATCAGTGCTGACCACTATACTCTATACACTATGTAGTATATTTCACAATGAAGGAGGAACACTGACTGCTATACTTCTGGGGATTATTTATGCAATGGTTAGGGGTTAATTATTGTATTGTTCTGGGGGCTAACAATGTGCACACCTGGGGGTTTATTACTGTGCCATGCTGGGAGCTACTGTGCCATGCTGATGAATAATTATTGTGCTATGCTGGGAGTTAATTGTTGTGCCATGCTAAGGAGTTAATCATTGTGCAATGTTGGGGGTTAATTATTTGCAGTGCTTGTGTTTAAATATTGTGCTGTGCTGGTGGTTAATTATTGTGCTATGCTTGGGGCTAATTATTGTGCTGCTTTTGTTGTTAATTTTGTTCCATGCCTATTTTAGTCCAAAATTTTCTTTAGTGTGTGCCATGGCCCCATTTTATCTATGCAAAAGGAGAAAGGTGGCACACTCCAGGCCATAGACAGTGTAGAAAAACTCACTTTTTTGTCATGACCTCCTTTGGCCACACCCACTTTTTGGCCAAACCTACAAGAGCATGGCAGGCACCGCTCTGCACCGCCTCATTAGCTTCCCACCTAAACTCCCAGCACCAACGCAGCACCCCGCAAAAAAAAATTGTCTGGAGTCATCCTGTTAATGCAGGTATACAGTATAAAAAAAGAGAATATGTATAATTATTTGCCTTTAAATTCTAAATAATCCCTAAATGGCATATGAAAATGTTGCTTTACCTTTAACAGAGACTTTCAAATGTTTTAAATCTTTCCCTCCCACCAACGTTGATCTTCCTCATCAAAGAGTGGACATTATATGTTAAAATAACAGTGGTACAGCTGTTAAACAGCAGTTTTAGAGCAGAAAAACATGGATAATGCATTAACATTTTATTAGTTAATACACCAGTAGATTGAGTGACCTTTCAACTACAGCTGTACTTAAATAACAAAAAGCCTGTACAGATTCCTCCTCCCCATTTATTATTAATTATTATACCCAAACACAGACCTCAGATTCAGCGCAAACCTACAGTCCACTTTCCAGATCTCCACTGTACTATACCAGACAGTGTTCACATACATTTTTTACCTGATCTCCAGTTGCATTGCACAGACAGTACTGTAGGGTTATATAGAGATGAATGTTGGAGACCAACTCTTTTTTTTCCCATTATTTTCTATAGATCATGCAGTCACATCTGCTTACTGCAGTGAAGGTGACAAAGGTAGAAACAGGTGTAAAAACTGCCCAGTAGAGAGCCTGACAGTGTAATCAATGTTTAGGTGTAGTGGTAAGAAGGGGTGGGGAGACCTTATACAAAGCAGAACTGTACTTTAAAATAGCTGTGTTATTAAAGCAGAGTTCCACCCAAAAGTTGAAGGTCTGCTTATCTGCCTCCTCTCCCCCTCCACTGCCACATTTGCCACCTTTTTGGGGGAAGGGGGAGTGGGTACCTGGTTTTGACAGGTACCCACTCCCACTTCTGGCTCAGTTTGCCACGGTGAACTGAGACAGAATTTAGGGCCCCCTACAGCCCTCTGGGACATTTCACAGGTTCCAGAGGCCTGCAGCCTGTAGCCACACTTCATGCATGTGCAGTAGGAGACTGGCTACGAAGTCACAAAACAAGGTTTCCCTTTTTCAAGATAGCGGCTCCAGCACTCAAAAGTTGATTGAAGAATCAGCTCAGGGTGAGGACACCACTGGATCCCTGGACAGGTAAGTGCCCTAATATTAAAAGTCAGCAGCTACAGTATTTTTACCTTCTGACTTTAAATTTATTTTGGCCAGGGGGGGGCGGGGGGCCGGATCTCTGCTTTAAAGTACTGATGCACATGAGTTATTATAAAGTGCAAAATAAAAGACATTTCAGTTGCAGCTCCAGTAAAGTGTTACTATAGTATGTTCAGCATTCTGCAATGTTATTTGTCAACTGCAAGGCTAAGGTAGAGTTAGATAACATGTTAATCATGATCTACTCATAGATCATGGTCATCTGACAGGTATATCGCAAGCGGGTCGAGCCAGTTCCTGACCCCTCCCAACACCTCTCAGACCACATATCAGTGTTTAAATAGGCATTGCAGAGTGAAGGAAAGCCATAGGCTGCTTGTAAGTTCTGACATGCCATATAATATAGCAGAAGAGAGACCTGAGACTTCTCTCACTCTGCTGGGTGCTGCTGTATCTGAGGTCTGGTAAGTGAATTTTACAGAGGTAGGGAATTTGTACTGTTGGTGATTTTAGCCTAAAGGCGTAGATTGTTATACTGGAAGGAGTTTTTTTTTTTTTTTGGTAGTGGTGGTTGTGGTGGGGGAGTTGTGTGTGTTAGTTATCCCTGTCTTCTTCACTGTGTGCGTTACATACTACTGTCCTTTGCACTGTTCATTATGTACTGCTGACCTCTGCACTGTGTGTTGTATGCTACTGACCTCTAAATTCTGCATAACATACTGCTGAACTCTGAATTCTTCATTACCTACTACTGACTATTGCACTCATACTACTGACCACTGGACTCTGTATTACATACTATTTACTCAGTCATCATTCAATGAGCGCCTAGCAGTCTGGTTTTACTATGTGATCTTAATTCATGGCAGATGTTATGTATATTACTTTGTACAATGTGAGTATCATCATAGGCTTTGCAACAATGTATACTATGTGATAATGTCGACTATGTAATGCTCTTTATTGTACATATATACTTAATAATGTGATTGCATTATAGATATGGTTTACCCCTTGCTCTCCCTGAGGAAAGAAATTTCTGAAACACGTCAGCTTTTGACCAGATGTTATATTTTAGAGCGATCAAGCAATGTAAGGGCAGGCTTATATCAGCACATCCTGGATATACAGGGCATCTCTGACCATACAACTACACTATTATTTGTTATACTGATGTACCAATATATAGTTAACTACTTTTTTTTATGTAATTTTATCCATTTTAAACATACTTTTTTTTTTTAATAACGATTTGTATACTTGCTTCTATAATTACATGTTCTGTGTATTTTGCCTACAAAATCACATAGGTGTTTCCTTTCTTTTTGTGTCAGAATTTTACGATGTTGGCAATTTACCTTTAATACCACCCACCTTCTATTCTTTTTTTAAACTTTGAAAATAACACTAAGGTGTCTTTTAGAGGTTTCAAAATTGTCCCAGAAAGCCCTCCTAAGCCAACAATGTTAGTTGGTTGCAGGGGCGGACTGAAAACTCATGGGCCCCCCCCCCCGGGCAATTGGGAATCATGGGGCCCCTGTGTCCCTTGCCCCACACTCAAAAAACACACCCAAAAAAGCCTAAAAAAAGGTACCAGGGGCATTTTATGGGGCCCCCTACAGAGCCCCGGGCCCTCTGGCAGTGCCCAAGTACTGGAATGGTCAGTCCTCCCCCGGTTGGTTGTATCCTACAATTACCATGTTTAAGTGTAAATTTAAATCAAAGTGGTAGAGAATAGCAAGTCTACATCTACTATATACCTACACAGTGACTGTGACTTAAGTGCAGGGGCGAGCTGACCATTTGGAAACTCGGGCACTGCCCGAGGGCTTGAGGTCAGTAGGGGGCCCCATGAGAATGCCCCTGGTACCTTTTTCATAGGCTTTTTTTTTGAGTTTGGGCAAGGAGATTCCCCTACCGGGGTCCCATGTAGTTGCACCAGGTCCCCCTATTGCCGGGGGCACCCCATGAGTTGTCAGTCCACCCCTGCTTTGTGTACCTCGTAACCCTGTCACTTGAATCTCTGCACAGTCCTCTGGTATATTTGGGATGAAGTAAGGCCACCTCTCCTCTACAAGAGTCAATAATAAAATGTTATCTTTAAAATGACCAAAAATCACTGGTAAAGATTCTCGTTATTTCAGGTTCTCCTGGTCTGCAGTTTTTATTCACAATACTTCCTAATACCTGCTGTTTTCACTTTACTTTTACACTCTTTTGAATGCTTTCAGAAATTGAGGATGGGCTTAAAAATTATACTCAGGTTCTTTACACCACACCAAGCAGAGACACTGTTCTAATTATTTGCATATTGCTTGTTGGTTTTGCGCTCCCTTATTGTGACTGCTGGAGGTTTCCTTCCCTTTGTAGTATACATACAGTACAGTATACTGACTGCAGACCAGTATACATACAGTATACTATCTCCCTAACTGTGGCATATTATAGTTTAGGTATATATTTCAGAGTATCAGTTATTATTGCCACACAAATCTGTGCAAGATCTCATCTTCCTGTGGTGCCTCTCCATGTTTTTTTCAAGCATTCAGATTTATACGAATCTCTAAATGGTAGTAATAAAAAAGTTAGAATAACAAAATGTTGCCCATGAAGAATGGCATTTTGTTTCAGTTGTTTCATGTTTCAAATGACATCACATGATGCAATAGTAGTGCAGGTCCATGGGAAGAAATCAATTGTATTTTCAAAATTTTTCGATAATTCAGCAATTCAAGTGGCCAAAAATTTGTTGATTTAAATTGAACTTGTAATTGTCACAGTCAAGTCAGTTCAGCTCCACAGTCTAATTGCAATAAAATTTAAGTTTGAAAGATTGGGGGTCATTCCAAATTTTGCATTGTTTATTCAGTTGTGTTTGAAAATATTGCATCCTTCTGAATTGGCTTCGATATTGAATATCAAAGTTACCCATGAATATGTAGCAATCTTCTAAAAAAAAATTTTGTTAAGTTTTTTTTAATCCACCCTGACCAACAAATATATGACAGCTTAAAATGCCGAAGATATGAAATTGTTTTTAATCCACCCTGACCAATAAAATCTGAAAAAGAATTGGTTCAACATAACGAATATGACAAAATGAAATTCTTCAATGAACAAATGCATCCAATATTAAATAAAAAATAACATTTTCTGGCGTGCACATATCTAATGTCTATTTTTTGAGAGGTTTATCACTAACATGCTTCCCTACTGTCTAAGGATGTGGACAATCCTGTTACATTCATGAAATCACTCATCTTCCCTAGTAGTTATAGTGAGTATAGTCTTACTAAGAACAATCTCACTCTTTTGATGGTTAAACAAAGAAGGCACTGTTTAAAACTAGAAACTATATCCAACACACTTTTAAGATCTCAGGGATTCTTAATTCCACATTTACACACTTTTAGAAATACTGTCCTATACCAATGTAACATTTAAAAATTTTCTAAAATATGTAAAAATATTAAAAAACATTATACCTGATGGCATCGGAGTAAAGATGTTTTTTGGTATCACCACCTTGTCTTCAGAGTTTCTGGCCCAGTCCACCATTCCTTTCCTGCCCCTCATAGGGAAGGTGATATCAGTTAGCACAGAGGAAGCTGGAAGCTTTTGAATACTGGCCACTGTCAAGAGAAAACAGCATAGTAAGCATAGTTTTATTTGCTTAACTTGTCACCCAATATATTATTTTAAGTTTAAATGCTGCCTCCATGTAAGCACATCGATAAGGCATGTTTGTATCTTTACAGCATTTAAAAAAGGCTTATTTTCCTATTTTCCGACAAATAAAATAAATAGTTTAAATATTCAGTGCTTCTCCTGGTAATCTATTTAAATATCCTGGTTTATGTGAGTATGTCACATACACTTGTGTGAGGCAGTTAACTATAGTCATAAAAACCTTAGGGTTATATGGAAGAAATAACAAGTAAAGGTTTTGCAGCACAGTTTCTTTAGATCCATATTTGAAATAATTTGAAGTGACATTACAAGGATGAAATTCTGTAAACTGCTCATGGAAACAAAACTGTTAGAATATGGCTAATGAAGCACTGACAATGTGTGGGAAGCCCAACATACAATTATTGCAGATAAGTTTCTTAATCTGGAGTCCAGGACAAAAGGCTGGCCTGCTATGTATAGATCTTGTGTGTGTCCCAGATTCCCCCAGACAGTCAAAGATTTTCAACTTGGAAACATTTCATTTTTAAATTATTTTTCTCCAAACTGCTTATTTCTTTATGCTATACAGAAGCACATATGAATAAAAATCATTGTAAGAACTGTGTCTGACGATATTTATGAGAAATGCTGAACTCTTATTGTCCATCAGAACTGAAGATGTTGGTTGTGCTTGATGACTAGACCTTGGCAGTGCAACTACAATGTGGGGTCCTTACCTAGGAACAAAGACCTCCTAAATTGAGAAATATAGATAAAATCCACAGAAAGAGTGCCAGACAGGCATCTTGAGTGTCCATAATAATTGTTTGTAATTATTTATTTATTGTAGATATGAATGTGGCAGCAGCCCTTCATCAGAGCTCTAAAATGAAATAACAGTGCTGGAAACATACTGTAAGTGCTATATCACCCACAACTGTTTGAAGGACAAGGTCCACTTTAGGATCAGCTTTATTGAGACTACTTTTCAGATAGTGTTTTAAGTGAGTCACGGGATGATTAAAGGAGTAGTGAATCTATATTTAATGAATACACAATAGACTATTAATTAAAGTAAAGCTATGTTCAATTTAAATATATAATCATTGTCTAATCCTATTTAGGTTACTATGATTTTTCTTTGCACCCAATAGGTTGATTGAGTGAATACTGCTTTACTTTATTTACTAATCTAAATGAACGCCCACTAACCTTCTCTATTCCTTTAGTCAATCTACCAGACAGACTTGCATTGTGAGAAGAAGCAATACAGCACAGTTGTTGCACTGAAAAGCAGGAGGACGAACCTGCTTATGCAATAAGCAAATATGGTTGTCCCCTTATAACTACAAGCTGTACATCCAAACAAGGTTTTGAAAATAAACACCTTAATTAGTTTATTTATGTCTAAATAATCACTATTACAGGTTAAAAAGGGAAAGACTATGCATTTCATTTATACTTCATTGATTGGGCGCCAACGTGTATAGCATGCTGCACAAAGAGCAAGCCTCCTTTCAGGCATTAAAATACAAGAATGATATTCATTACAAAGCTTTAAAAGAAGGGAAAATGAACCCTTTTATAAATAGCTTAGTAGGCTCTAAAAATGATAAATAGGCTGTAAAATATATATTCCAAATTCTGAATACAATACAGCAACCCCCCCCCCCCCCCCCCCCACACACACACACACACAAAGAAATGGGGTAAAAATCAGGTAAAAAGACGCTGAAAAGTTGTGCGGCCTGATATACAGATGAATGGCCTTGGTTGTATCAATAGAACAGTCCAGCTGGTGCTGCTGATGTAAAAACAAACTAGTGTAACTTGTTAAGGTGATAGCAGAGCTTCTGCCAGGAGAAAAGGGGTTAGTGGGTAAAGAAAAATAGTAATCAGAGAAGGTAACAAGGAAATTGATACCAGTCCCTAGTAACCTTGTATCAGAGTCATCCATTGGAAAGATGACACCCTACAAATGCTTTCAAGAGGGTGGTCATATATGTAGGCAGCAGGACTCTGAACTAAAGGGAAAGAGGTGCAACAAAGGAAACTGTCAATTAGTTAAACTAAAGGAATAAATAACATATAGAAACATTGTCTTTTTTAATGGTTTATGCTTTGTGAGGCAACACAGTACAAGATTCCTTTATATGTTTCATCTACTTTTCTACTTTAGTTCAGCATATTATGATACGTAGTAGGGAATTATAAATGCATCTGCACCACTCTCTAATGACTGATCAGTCTTTCAGCCAGGACTAAGTAGACAGGCCAGTTCATATCTTTTAAATGATTATGGCAAATCTTTTAAATGACTATGGTGCTATATAATGACTAAGAGCAAAAACTGAATATCAGTGTTAGCAAACTCACATCTGACTCAAACATAAGAATCTTAATCAATCTGATGGTATTTATTTAAACTGGTTGTCTTTCAAGTTAAACAACTATTAAAAAATAAAAAGTTTCAGGTTGCAGGCACAAATCAAAAAAGTGTTTTTGCATACCACTCATTTACTAAATAAACAAACTTTATCATGTGAATTATGCACAAATGGTACACATTTATTTATAGCCAAAGTTAGGTTTTATAAAATGGATTATTCCAGCCAGAAAAGCTGAACTAAACACAATCACACTTTAAAAAAAGAAATTGGCAGGTATAGGCATGCACACTACTGTTTGAGGTGAGGCATTGTTCTGAATTTCGTTCTGAAATAAAAACCTTAGCACAAATCAGCAGGAATGCCAAGGGTCAATGAAAGAACAGTTCTATGGTGCCCAGCATAAATCACATTCATTTCATCTTCTTCCAGTACAATGTTTTACAATCATGTACCATATATCTGTTATATCTACAAAGAAAACAGCAGCCGACCTAGCAAAGTGACCAAGTTTGTAAAGGTTTATATTAGATCATTATCACAAACAGGAATGCTATTTTGGCATTTGTAGTAGGAATTGGTCAATGCAAATGTATAGCCCTGAAACCCTTGTCATACTGTCCACCTGGTGATTTTCTCTGATTTCCAATGTATGTTATATATACAGTATATGTCTTTCAAATATTCAAATATGCACCAAATCGCCTTTTTCTGTAAAATATCATAAACTGTATTAGGTAAGAAGGAACCATTGTAATTAAAGCTTAACGTGCAAATTATGCAACTTGCATAATAGAGTGGTGCAAGAGCTAAAACTTCTGCAAGATTTGCACCTTTGTCTGTAACCCCATTGTGGAGATCTTTCCTCACATTTTTTTCTTGTAATACCTATACTAGAAATAGAGCACTGGGACAGGACAGTGCAAAAAGCAATA